GTAAGAATATAAATAAAAATTAGTGTCTCACATGTAATAAGAGGTAATATAAAAATAGCAAAAACTAAAAAAAATTATCTGAAAACCAGAAAAAAATTACATATTGATCAGTTATAAATTCATTACAAATATAATATAATGATTAAAAATAAGTATAATTTTTTTTGATATCAAAATAAATATATAAACACTAATGAATATTCTATCAAAAATAAAATTAATAATATTTTTAATAATTTATACTATAAAAATCTTATAAAAACTGGCTTTTTTATGAATTATTATAATATAGTTCTATTGGAATTAATAAATGACTTTTAATTCTTCTGATAAAAATAGAATAATTGTTGGATGATTCTCTTAATTAATATAAATTTTTCATTAGAAATTTATGTTAAATAGAAAAATCTAATAATTGCTATGATATTTTTAAATTCTAAGACTTCAAAAAATTTTAATTCATTTTTTAGATCATTAGTTAATAAACTAAAGCAGTTACAAAATAAAAATTCTTTTTTTAGATTCTCACTTTTTTGCTAAATTAACAGTTCAAAAAGTTATTATCTGTACAGATAATAACTTTCTGAACTATTAATTCATATAAATTCTAATTTTTTCTAATTTTTTTCTGAATAACAAATGGAATTCAGTATTATAATACCAAAAGTAATAAAACTTTTATATTATATATATATATTCTTAGTTAATTTAGCAATTTTCTTGCTTTAGCAAAGTGATATGTATTATTAAATATAATTTATATCAAAAATATTACTTTTATTACTTGTGAGAAATCTATTATGCAAATAATAAATATTTATTATTATTTTCAAAATAATTAATTAATACTTACTATATATTCAGTATCTTATCAGAAAAAACTTATTACAATTATCTTTAAAATATTAATACTATTAAAAATTCTGGATCAAAAACTAATCATACACAATTAATAAAAATTACTGGTTATAAATAAATAAAGTATCTTTTTAGAATTAAAATCAATAAGATTTTTAAATAGTTTTTCAGTAAATATTATATAATCTTTTTAAAAATATTACTTTGGCAATATTTAAATATTAGACTAGTATATTACTTAAATTAGATGATAATTTTAATATTTTTAATAATAACTAAAATAAATTAGAAGTATTATTAAAAAAAATTGAAAAAACATATCATATAAGTTTGGTTATCTGTTAATTGATATACTTCAATATTCTAATATTTTTAAGATATAAAAGTGAACAAACTGAATTATATTATATTTAATCTTATTTTTATCCAAAAATCTGAATGATAAGTTAAGTAAAAATATTATTAACTATTTTTTTAGAATAAGTAATTTTTATTTTTTCAATTTTTTTCAAATATTTAAAGAAATAAACAAATTTTTTGATACATGCAAAATTTGTCTAAAAAATGATTATTTTAATGAATTAAATAAAATTAAAAGATTTTTTTCTGAATTTATAATATATTATGAAAGAGAATATTATCAAAAAAAATTTGTTTGATTACTAATAGCTTTGATTTCCTTTATTATCTTTTTCATATTATTAAATTTATTAAAAATACTGAATTGATATATGTGATCTGATAATATCTGATAAAAAGACTTTATAAAATATTGTTATCTCTTTAATTAAGATAACATTTTTATATAAATCTAATTAATTAAATTACTATATAAAACCAATTTACTCATCTTTAATATTTTCTGAAAATTAATGATAGAATAATTAGTAATCCAAAAAAAATATAAAGGAATCTAAGAAAAATAAAAAGTTTGAAATTGAAGGTAAAGATAAATTACTAGTAATACCAGAATAAAAATATTATCACAAATTCAAACTCAGATAGGTAATCTTGTAATGTGAATATTCAACTAATATCTATTATAATTTCTCGATATTTTACTAATTTCGATCCAATTATATTAGGATTAGTGCATGATGTGTGACTTCTTCTATTTTATTAAGATAGAATAGTATATTACTATTATTAATAAATATTTTTTTTGTATTTATTTAGTGTGTGGATAGTTCTATAATAATATAGTACTGATATTTTATAACAATCTGATTGAATTGTTCAGTAATATATAATAAAAATAAGTGTTATAATAATATTAATTATAAAATTAATTAATATATAATTTCATTAAACAATAAACAAGAAGCAATTTATTAACTAGCTAGATTTTGTATTAATTAATTAATGTTTTTTGATTTATTCAAAAGATTTTTTATTATATAAAATATTTTATGATAAGAATATTACAATATAAAATATATTATATATATTAAATAAATATACTATAGCAAATAATGTTGACATATCTGAGAACTCTGCTATTTCTACAATCTATATTCAATCACATAATTAAAATTAAGAAATAAAGAAATAAAGATAATTCTAAACTGTAACAACATACACTTAGCAAAACAGAAAAATAGTTACTTAAATATTTTTATATTATAGTACAAGAAATAAATAAACTTGAAAAAGTATTTTTCATTAATATTTTTTTTATATTTTATCTAATATATAATCTTAGAAGATTTTATCAAATATTTAAATTTATAAGAAGTTTCAAATTGCAAATAAAAAAATAATTAATTTACAACTTATTAGCTGAAAAGGAAATTTATCTTATACTAATTATCAAATAGCAATATATATATAAATCAGATTATATTTAACATATTAATTTTCTTTTTAGACAAATGTTAATAATTACTTTATTTTTTTAGGCAATACTATTAGTTGATAAAAAATATCCAAAACAAAAATGCACTTATTAATTTAAAAGAACAGAAATTTTATAAAAAAGAAAAATATTATTTTGCACATGAATATATAAAAGATAAAAATAAATAAATATTGTTAGCTCTGATACAGTAGATTACTATATCAGTAGCTTCTAATTATGATCTAATTATTTTCTGTAATCTTGATCATTCTGAAATTATTAATATTAATACTATAACTAGATTTATTAGTTTTTTTTCAATTATCAAAAATAAAAATTATATAATAGATTAGTAAGATTATGTAATATATACTAATAAATAAAAAGTATCATTAATAAAAATTTGGTTTTATTATCAGAGTAAAAATGATAAAAATCTAAAATAGTTCTATTTTTTTACTGGATAAAAAAAATAAAATTTTTAAAAATGAATTTTTATTAATATAAAACTGGATTTTTTGTATAGATTCATTTTTTATTCAGTAAAAAAAATAAAACTATATCAGATTTTTTAAAAATTGTTTTTATTTTTGGTAATAGAAATAAATTTTTGCTAAAATAAAACTAGATTTCTTATATAGATTTGTTTTTTATTCAATAAAAAAAATAAAAGTATATTAGATCTTTTAAAAACTATTTTTTACTCTGGTAATAAAAATGAATTTTTGCTAAAGTAAAACTGAATTTCTTGTATAAATTTGTTTTTTATTCAGAAAATATTCAAGATAAAAAACAAATTTATACAAAAAATTAGATTTTTATCTGATATGTTCAAAAATTTTTTTAAAAATATAGATATATCTTTTAATAAAAATACAAAATTCACTTTGTCTTTTCAATGATTGATTATTTGACTTTCTCCAGATCTAATCATCTCATATTGTGCAGTTAAAATACATTATAATGAAATCTGAGAATATTTTCTTTTTGCTATTTAAATATATTTTGTGTATCTTTTAATAATAACCAGAATTTAACTCAAAATATATAATAATTATATTGATAAACTGGTAAAATTTCTCTTAATTGAGTATATTTGATATCAAATTTCATTGATCTAGAGAAAATCACAGCAAAAAGATCTTGATCCAACTCAATCTCAAAGGCAAATTTTATAGATTTGTTGAATATTTTTGCTTCTCTAAAACACTTGCTAATAATTTCAGTATTTCATCTAAATTGTATAAAAGCATCTTAGAATTATTATTCTACTGATTACTATTAGTACTTTTATTTAGCATTAAATTCAGAATATCTTTAGTACTGTCACTTATATAAAGCTGTTCAATATTATTGAAGATGTTATTGTTGCAAAGTAAAATAATATTATTTTAATTTATATTGTTGCTTATTTCTAAGTTTGCTCTCTTCTTTAATGATGTGTGAATATTTTTTTCCTGGTATTTGTTTTACAATCTTGCAGAGCATTGATTGCAAGTAGCATGTTCATATTCTGGGATATTAGTAGAAAAGTGACAAAAGTTAGTAATTTTCTTTAATATATGACAGCTACTGCATGTTTTTTCACTTGAGATTTGTTTTCACTCATTTTTTTTGATATGCAAATATTAGGTGTATAATAGACTTGGATATATATTAACGAAGGAAAATTGTGCAAGATTGTGTCTGAAAGAACATGCCTGGAAATCAGCGACACATCAAAAGAAGATAAGCACGTGATTTATAATATGAGACTTCGAAGACATATTATTTTAATAAATTAATAATTTTTATTTTATATTATTTGTATATATCTAACTTAGGAAGGACTAATTTTTATTTTTATTTTACATACAATAGATACAGTTAGAATTTATTGTGAGTATATATCTGTATGAATAAAAAAGCATAGAACAATGTATTTCTCATCAATCAAATCAAACAAATCAAGAACAATGTATTTTTTCATCAAACAAATCAAGTCAAATCAAATAAATCAAATTTGCTAGAAAAAATTTAAAGCAAAAGTAACAATTTTAATCATATTTTAATGAGTTTGTTAAGTTTGTTATTTATTAAAATACAATAATATGATTTGGGGTTCGGATCGGAATTTTGATTTGGAAAAATCTTATTAGTTCGGATATATCGGAATCACATGACCCGTAACTTTTTTTTCGCCATGGCTAGGGTACTTATTTCCAACTTCTAATTTTCACTAGCATTTAATGCGTAATAATTTTGAAACATTTTGCCATAATTTTTAAAGAATAAAAAAGAGAATAACCAAAAGACTAAAAATAAAATGCGGTTTCAAGTTAAAAATCTTGGAAAAAAGAAACCGGAAGGTAGCTTTTTGTTTCGTAATATCGAGATTTCATTAAACGAGGGCGATAATTTAGCGATTACTGGTCCAAGTGGCGTTGGGTAAGTAATAATAATTATTATGCCAGAAAAGAGCTTAAATATCACAAACTATTAATACCGCAAATTACCTTTTTTTCACTTACTTTTTAAATACAAGTTTCTTACATTGATTCTTTTTTTCTTTTATAAAGCAAAACCACTCTATTAAAATGTATCGCCGAGTTGACAGCATTCGAAGAAGGATCGCTTTACTTAAATGAAAAGTATGTATATTTTTTTTATTCGAATATCTATTGTGTATAAATAACTAAATAGTATTGCAAATAATGTAAATAATAAGAAATCCTGAACAATATGGTATCCCGATGTGGCGGACACGCGTAATGTATGTTCTGCAGAGACCTGGTATTTTTATACGAATTTTTTAGTTTATTATCTATAATGTGATTCAAATGAAAAATCAAAGAAATAAACTTCACCAGGGTAATTTGTGTTTTTTATTATTTTGATAATTGTGACATTCTTGATGAATTACGAATGTAGCTGTGAACGGTACACCACTTGATTTTGTTAGTCAAGTTCGTAAATATGCGACTCAACAAAAGATGAAAAGTAATCACCGTGATCCTGTATGTGCATTTATTATTTATATGCAAAATATATAAGAAATTAATTTATTGTATATTTTTTTCATAATAAATAGGTTGAAATTTCATCACGGTAATTCAAATTTGTATTTTTATTCAAAATCGATGCTATTCAAATATTGTCTTATTAAAAGTTGTTTATCCTCGATATCTTCACACAAATAAAAATAGATGGGGAATCACAGAGGATCTCTGGCACAAAGAATACAACCAACTATCAGGAGGAGAAATGCAACGAATTTCTCTTGCGATCGCATTATCATGTAACCCGGATGTTTTGCTATTAGACGGCAAGTAAAATCATGAAATCTAAAAAAACTATACTTTTTTTGATTTACGAACAAGATATTTAATATATATATAAAATAGAACCAACTTCGGCACTCGACCATCAAACTTGTCTATTGGTAGAGGAGTCACTTCGTGGGTGCACGTGTATCTGGGTCACGCATAATCCCGAACAAGAAAAACGCGTCGCGACAAAAACGTTAAGACTAGAAAGGCATGGAGATGATACGGGGATGGAGAATGGTGGTGCGGTAATTGTTGATATGTAATTATGGTGGCCGAAGACGTAAAATTAAGGGAAAGAGGTTGGAGCGCAGGTCCTTCCATTACTGTTACCACTTTCCTTAGCTCGTAATAATCAATAATAAATTAAAATGAAAGAAGCATCCGAACAATCATCATCTTTTAATTAACAAATTTAGATTTTTAGATTATCCTATTTTTTAAATTGTATGACAACATGTAAACAAAATAAATTAATTGACAATACACTAACAGAATAAACTACAGAAAATAGCCGATCAAATAGATGCTGATTGGATCTTTGATAATAAGCGCAAGTTGTCTCACCAGAAACAAATTATAATATCGTGAATAAATAACAAATGGAAGATGAAAAAGAATAGAATTTATAACAGTGATACATTCTTTTTTTGTTCAAATAGTAGTAACCCAACAATTGCTTCCAATTGTCTGATTGCCTCTGCTGATTTTCCAAGCTCTACTTCTGAAAAAAAAAGATGTGATGGTTATTATTTAGTCAATAAGAGAAAAATAGAATTATAGCATAACACACACTATATTAGGTGGAAAGATGTCAATAAACTTACTAATTGTTTTCATTCCTAGATTTTTAGCGGATTTTAGATTTCTATTTCGTGTAAAATAGATAACGAGTAACTTATTGAGAAATAAGTGATAAGCATGCGCGCAAATGTAAAAACATGAACCCTTCCTTACATTCCAATATCATCGAGAAAAATAGCTTCCTTCGGACTAACTTTCAATTGTTCACAGGCCAATAAAAATATTTTTGGATCTGGTTTTCTATATTAAAGAGTTGATAAATAAAACATTTACGAAATAAAACAAAAAATATTATTGTATTCCAATCAACAACCTCAATCCAACAACACTCGACTCTACAATCACATGAAACATCTCATACAATTCCTCAATAGGCGTTGGCACACCTCCTTCTCCTCCTCTTCCCCAAGCCGCCACTTCTTTTCGATCCACTTCGTGTACAGGCGCAGGAAAATTATTTGTTAAAGCGGCAATTTTATACTTGTTACTGGCGCGGAGACATTTTAACGCGTAAAAAACTGTCGGATCTATTATTAATGTCTCGGATATCATGTATCGAAATAATAGTTTGCCGTCGACGGTTATTGATGGTATTTTTGAAGAGGATGGTGATGAATTGTCTTATAAAACATATTTACTAAATTTAGCATTAATTCGGGGAATTTGTTTTTTAGAATTTTTACGTACTTCCACCATTGCGTGAACTAAGATATTGTTGATAGTACTCTTTATTGATCGGATCTGAGAGCTCATTGCCGAATATCTCGTAAAATTTGGGAATTAAGAGTTCACCGCGTTCAAAGCGCTATCATATAAAACAATTCATGATAATTTGATTTATCGAGTTCATCATAGAGAAATGCTTACTTGAAACGCGCCGTTCTCGCCTCTTTTCACACTAAATATGATAAGATTCAAAAGTCATAATTTCTTTAATTACGCGTCAACAAATAGTTTGTAATTTAGAATTCACCATTGGTACTCGTTATATGAAATTCGCATATATAGCGTATAAATTTATTTTAGATTAAAATGATAATGATCTATATTTCAACATATATCTTTTCTGATTTTATGCAAGAAAATTTTCAAATTACTTTTGCAATTAGAAATTTTTTTTTGCAAATTAAATCTAAAATCTGAAAAAACATATGTTGAAATATAGATTATTCTCTTAATAATAAATTGAAAATTTTAATATAAAGGAAATTTAATTTTAATAAATTTATACGCGTGATGCGTTTGAAAAACGCTATATTGAAAAAACCATTTCATTATAACTGTAATTCGGCACGGGTTTACAACCGACAAATCCTTCCCTCAATATATATAAAAAGTGCATACTTTTTATAGTAAAAAATGTTCGTACATTGCTACATTAATATAGTTTGGAGGCAACCCATGTTCTTTTTCATATTTAGAGATGCCTTGCATAGGTGAACCAACACAGACTCCTCCCAAGTCAAAGATTATCGCTTTGTAATTTGTGGTGGAGATAGCGATAGACATTCTTTTACATCTACTTTATTATTAATATTCGAAGATGAAAAGAAATAACTGATCGTTATCAACCAATAAGAATAAATAGAAAATAACCGCCAAAAACTTGATTTTATTGTTTTGTGTTTGTGCATGGATACATATGCGCGTCAGTATTACACATCAAGAAGAATAATCATAAAAGAATAGAGAATGGGAAACTTGTACGAAATTCTTGCCCGTTATTCTGTACTTTTTTCTTGTTTTCGTTTTTCATACTTAAATCAATCCAATTGTAGTCGTCGTAGACATGTCTTCCTCTACCACGTCGCTTTACAATCATATATCAAAGCCGGTGACTCATATGTTACCACATTATGATGTGATTGTAGTAGGTTCTGGTTATGGAGGTGGTATTGCGGCTTCTCGTATGGCTAGAACTGGGAAACGGGTTGCATTATTGGAGAGAGGTAAAAAATAATATTAATTAATGTATCCAATCATCATAATTACTAAATATCACGTGACCTCAAAGGCCGAGAACGATGGCCAGGAGAATATCCAGAGAAATTTGTCGATACAGTCAAAGACCTTCATGTATCAAAAAATAATCGGGATTATGGAAACAAGCTTGGAATGTACCATGTTTATTTGGGTAATGAACAAGATGCGGTTGTTGCAAATGGGTAAATAATTTTACTTTTTGATATAAGCGTATCAAAGAGGTTAATTATATTATTTTCTATTGATTTTTAGTCTTGGTGGAACGTCCTTGATTAACGCTAATGTTGCATTAGAAGCTGATGAAAATGTATGGAAAATGAATTTATGGCCTAAAGAAATTAAGAAAAGTGAAATAGAAGAAGGTAATAATAATAAAGTTATTATTGATTAAACTTTTATATTGATCAATACTTTTTTCGTTACAATTATCATCAAAGGATATAATCGAGCACGTCACATGCTTGAACCTAATCCATACCCAGAAGATTGGCCAGAACTACCAAAACTCACAATACTCGAAGAACAAGCCACCTTAATGGGTTACAAAGATCGTTTCTATCGACCACCAATCACCGTCCACTTCAAACGAGGTGTCAATAATGCAGGTGTCTACCAAAAAGCGTCTACTCTAACTGGCAACGATGCCACTGGAGTGAATGATGGCAGCAAAAATAGTACGCTGATGAATTATATCCCGGATGCGTGGAACCATGGTGCCGATATTTTTTGTGAAGTAGTTGTGAAACGCGTGAAACAAAATAAGAATGGGAAGTGGGTTGTTTATTATGAGTGGTTAGGGGTAAAATTTCAATTTAGTAATATATTGTTTGATTTTGATTTAGATTTACTTTGGTTAATTATTTGATTATTTTTGTAGGATCCACGATGTAAATTTAGCACAGATTTTGAGAATTCGCAATTTTTTGTTACAGCTGATATGGTTTTTCTTGCTGCTGGTACTTTGGGCACTAATGAGATTATGTTGAGATCTCGAGCTTATGGGTTGAAAACAAGTAAAAATTTGGGTAAAGGGTTTAGTGGAAACGGTGATGTAAGTGATATAATATTTTATTCTTTAAACCTAAATTTCGGAGATACATTTACATTTGTAATTCTTTAATTAAAGATTTTAGGTTTTGGATTTAATACCAATAGAGTCTGCAATGGTAAGTGTTATTTCTTATATGATTGTGTTATTAGTCAAGATTACTATGTATATTTAAACTCATAATGTATTTGTATTAGGTATAAGCATGGGTTGCAAAGACCCACAAGGATTCAAAAAAAAGGTCGGTCCCTGCATCACTGGAGTCATTGACATGCGGACACCTGTCGACAATGTATTAGACGGATTCGTAATTGAAGAAGGAGTCGCACCAGCAGCAATCGGACACATATTCAAATCGTTACTAACTACGAGTTGCGCTATAAACGGCAAAAAGCCATTAAAGCTCACTTTTTCTGACAGAGCACAAAAAAGCTGGCGCCGTTTTTTAACTCCATTCACTGGTATCTACGGTGGCGTATTGAATCACACGCAAACATATCTGATAATGTCACATGATGACGGATCTGGAGAATTCGAGTTTAAGAATGATCGACTTCAGATGGGATTTAAAGGTGTTGGAAAAACCAAACAGATTGATCATCTGAATAAAATTTTGGAGGAGGCGACGCATGTGTTGAATGGGACTTTCATTCCTGATCCTATTTGGACGAAGATATTTAAAAATTCGTTGGTGACTGTGCATCCTCTTGGCGGGTGTAATATTGGGAAAGATGCACAGTCTGGCGTGGTTAATCATAAAGGACAGGTAAATAGCCAAAAAGTGATTTTTTATTTTTTCATATTTATTTTTTGAAAAATTTCCCATTGCTCAGGTTTTCAAAGGAAAAGAAGGCACAGAAGTGTACGAAGGACTTTATATTTGTGATGGATCAATTGTTCCCACATCTCTTGGCGTGAACCCATTCTTTACTATTTCTGCACTTGCGGAACGAATATGTGAAAAAGCAGCAGAAGATCATAGATGGAAGATTGATTATCATGAAGTAACAAAGCCGATAGATTTCGAGCATCCTTTAATAGTTCATGAAATACCGGTGGATATGATAGAGCGAGAAGGAAGATATCTAGAAACTAAAAAAGGAGGATTATTATTCTCGGAAGTGATGAAAGGGTATTTCTCAACTGAAGTTATTGATCTTGACTACGGAGAAGATGTTTATCAAATTGCTGAACGTAAGAATTTGATTTTTATTATAAAAATTTTTTATTTCTGATAATTTAATAATTAATGTCAATAATAATTCAATAAATAGTTCAAGCAATGACTGCTGACTCAACGATGGCATTCTTAATTTCAATCATTGCCTACGACGCCGAAACTCTAGTACGCATCGAGAACCATTCAGCTGAATTATTCGGAACAGTCACATGTCGAGCACTTTCGCCCGACCCTTTAATCATAACTACAGGCTCGTTCCGTCTACTGGTTGATGATGTGACTGGCGTAGACAATTGTAAAATGATGTACGATTTGGATCTGTTAAGCTCCGACGGCGATAAATATAAATTCGAGGGTTATAAAATCGTATCTAACACACTTTTCCGTAAGGGATGGAAACAGACGACTACTTTATACGTGACGGTGAAGAAGAAGGAAACCGGACAAGTCGTTGGTCTTGGATTGTTGCGTATTGGGGCTTTGGATTTTGCGACTACTCTTACTAGTCTTAAGGTAATTCATAATCACATATACTTTAGATTGAATATCATTTATTTTTGGGTTTTTATTATTAAATTACTATTCACACGTTGAATTAAATATTAATAGTCAACAGCTCCCACTTTCCGTGGTAGACTTGTCAATTACGCGCAATTTACAAATTTCTTCTGGGGTCGTATGGTAGCACATTATTGTCCAATTTTTCTTCCACTAAAATATCCTGAAGATGCACTTCCTATAAAACCATTCAAAAAATTGTCGCAAACAGAAACTTATAAGGTCATTGCCAAAGATGGTGTTCAATCGTTGTTGACTCGATATAAGGGTAACGGAAAAGGAATTCATCATCTAAAAGGACCTGTACTTTTGGTAAGTTTTATAGGGAATTTGTTTTCATTATTTAAATTTATTTATTTGAATAAAATACATTATAAATTTTCAATATGACAATGTTAGGTTCATGGTGCTGCAATGACTCATGAAATGTGGACAACAACTCTACTTGAACATACCATAGTCGATGTTCTCCTTGAAGATAATTACGATGTCTGGCTAATCGATTATCGAATGTCCCCAATCAATAAAGCATCGCATGAACAGCATACGGTCGATTCATTCCGTTTAGATATCGCAGCTGGTGTTGATAAAATTTGCGAAGTAACTCACGTTGAAAAAATTGCAATTATTGCTCATTGCGTTGGATCGATAGCTACTTTTATGGGATTATTGGATGGTACTATAAAAGGTGTTGGTTCTCTAATTGTGTCACAAGTAGTAAGTAGTATTTAATTAATTAAGATACAACATTTAGCTTGAATGATTATTATTCAACAATGTAATTTTTATTACCTAAGGGAATGCATCCCACCTTTGCACTATTCAACAGTGTCAAAGCACGTCTCGGCCTAATCTACATATGGAAATATATTTTACGACAAACCTTTTTTGACATGCGAACCTCCAAAAAAACCGACATTTTCAATCGCATCATCAATCAAATGCTCCGATTTGTCCCAGTTGGCCACGGACAAGTATGTCGTGGCGCTGAGTGTCATCGAGCAAGTTTCGCGTATGGATTAATTTGGCGACACGAACATCTTAGTCAACAAATTCACGATCACCTCGGCGATGTCGCCGCGCATGTTAATGTGACTACAATGACTCAACTTTTGTCGATTGGGCTGAAGAAGAAACTCGTTGATGCGAAGGGCAAGAATGTGTATGTTATTGAAAAGAATGTTAAGGAGAATTTGAATTTCCCGATCACTTTTATTCATGGTGATAAGAATGCAGTGTAAGTTGCTAGAATTCTGGACTTATGTGTAATTAATTCATCAATTGACAATTAATTATTTATGGTTCTTTTATTATATACAGCTATAGTCCAGAATCCACAAAGAAATCATTTGAAGTATTACGAGAAATCAATGGACCGGATTTATATAAACGCTGGGAGATTGACAATTATGGACACCTCGACACTTGGTGGGGTAAAAAGTCACATGAAGACATTTTCTTCCGCGTCACTGATCATTTACGAGATACCGCAAGTCATTACGGATATCAACCGGGACACTTTCAACGGTTAGAAAAATCAGCCGCCGCGAAAATTGATAATATTATTCATGTTGGTTCTTCGAGAAATAACAAAGGTAGTGATTAAGGACATTACAAGGTTTCCCTTCACTTTATGAATAAGGTTATTGTTAATGTTATTGTTATCGTTATACAATTTTTGTTATTTAATTTATTCAATTCAAAAAAAATTGTATATAAATTTTTGTTTTATTACTATAGTTAGTTTTATAAAATAAACGTATGCTTTTTATTAAAAATTGTGGGATGCGATAAACTTTAGCTAAACCCAAAAAAGAAACCAGGTGAATATGTGGGTCTTTTGCGATATTTGCTTTTGCATTGAACATTTAATACATGTACCTATTACATGTAATTAGAATGAAATTGTCATATGTTACACAAAATCCCTTTCAAATACAAACCTAATGGTCCAAAATCAAGGTTGTAGAGTATGTATTAGTTTACAATCCGATCAAGTCTACTAATAACCAGTATTATTATTTCAGGACCTATAGAAGATACTATTACCTCAAAGCAAGAGAATGAAGAGAATGGTTTGTTTTAGTAGACATTAGTTGTCCAGAAGAATTAGCGATATATAATAGATTAATAATCAAGAAAAAGTCGCTTTTTTTGAAGGTACTTGGTCAAAGAAAGGGAAGAAGAGCGTAAAAGAGGAGTATGTTTGTTTATCAACCATATATTTATCATCGAGACTTTACTAAAATCACAATATTTTTTTCGTCGTTTTTTTTTCACCTTTAAATCGCTATACTTTTCGATATACGCAAAAAAATGAAAATAATAATATATTAATTATCATATTTTATTGGACACTTCATACCATAATATTATTGGATAATATTTATTAATATCTTATTGGACATTAGCTAGAAAAGATCTTATTTGCTAATATTAGATGGTAAAACAAAAGCAATGTGATTATAGCAAAGTTAATGATCATAGCAAAGTTAATGATCCTAGTAAAACTAGCACATGAATCATAGCTAAATTAGCAATATGGTTATAGTAAAAATAGCAATATGATACTAGCAAAACAAGCAATTAAATTCTAGCAAAAGTAGTAATAATATTATAATTAAAGTAGATTTGTAAAATTATTAAATGTAATGAAAGCAATATAATTTAGGTAGTAATTTGAAGTTGAAATTTGAAATAAATTTCTTATTAATAAACTTCAAAAATAATATGTAAAAGTAATTCAAGTTATATTTTGTATTGATTTTGATCTTGAAAAATAAATTGCTTATATTAAATCAATTTTTTATTTGATTTGAAAGAAAATTACTTGAAAAACTTATTGTTTTATATTATAATCTTTAAAGTTATAAAGAAACTTAATAAAGTTTAGTGAAGTTATTAAATGTTATTTTAACTTGTTATAACTAAAAATGATATTTTAATTAATTGCAACTTGCAATAATCAATTGGAAAATTGTAATTTAATTGTAATAATCAATTAAAAAATTGTAATCAAGTTGTAAATAATTGTGATTTCATTTTTAATCACAATATAAACACACATTATCTATTTTTAATTATAATTTTTAGCTTCTTCCATTATAAAAACTTAGTTTTTTTCATCTTTTAATTAATAAAAATACATAAATAACTTAAACTTTATAAAAATAAGAATATTATATTACTTGATATTTTTCTTTTAATATTTTTAAAATTGTTTTTATTATACTAACTATTATAATAATATAAATATATTAATTTTTAATTTTGTCAGAGATTTTTTTGTAGCTAAATTATATGTAGTATAATAGTAAATTAATATTTGATATCTTTTTGTTTGTTTATTGCAAAGTTATAAAAAAATATCTGTCATATTAAGTTATTTTTTTGTTTATATAATATATACTAATATTTGAGTTTACTTATCTGATTTACTTTTTTTGATTTCAAATATATATATAGAATATTTGTTATTAATGACACTAATTAATTCTAGAAATTTTAATTAAAATTTTATTGAAAATATTATTAAAATTAACTTTTTGATTTTCTGAAGATAATAGATTTCTTTTTTTATTCTTGTTTAATATTCCTAGTAATTCTAAAAAAAATTAAGATTTTAGAAAAAAATCTATTATCTTATAATAACTATTATATATATTAAATAATATATATATATATATAATCATCATTTTTAGAATTATTATCTATGATGGTATTTTTGAAATATTGTCATCATTTTCAGAGTCATTTCTCATGATGATATTTCTGAAATATGGCGAGTGACTGTGTTTAATTGAAAGGTCAGACTACTGAACTATCAAAACTTATAATTTAAATATCAAATATTAAAATAACGGGGATTGGACATAACTTTTAACAAGAAATTTAACGAAATAAATATGATAATTATCAAAGCTTTTCTGAAGTACTGGTCAATGATAGCTATATAAAAATTCAAATACGAATATAATAAATAAATATAAATGCTGCCTCTCTTTAGGCCAGCAACACGAAAATAAAAATAACATAATGCCTTCCTGGCATCTCTCAAAAATCTTAAAAAAATAATAATGCAAATAATAAATAAATAAATAATACAAATAATAAATACGAATATGATATAAATAATAAATAAAATACGAGTAATAGTTTCTTGTTAAGACGACATAATTAAAAGGCCAAAATAATATAAGTCACAACCAATTTTTATTTATTAAAGGAC